CCCCTTCAAACACCTCAATTTTATCCAAAACAATACCATAACCCTAAAAATGTATTTTTCTAAAATAAATCATATATTGATGAAAATAAATAAGTAAATTGCAATAAAAACGTAAAAATATTACTTGGAATTGAAGAAATTCGATCTGGATCCGTAAGCTCTTCGCTGGTCGTCGCTCCTCTATCTCTACTCGCTGCAGATTTGGGAGAAAGGAGACAGATTTTTTATTTAAAGTCAATCTGTTTGCGACGGAAATATTCCGTCGCAGATTCCGTCGCAATGGTAAACATAAATGCGAGTGTGGAGCAAAACGACGTTGTTGTTTAGGGGAAAAAATGTGAAATTTTAAAAAAACGTAGCGACGGAACCACTCCGTCGCAGATTCCTTCGCAGATTCCATCGCAAACGAAAATGAATTAAATTAAAATAAATAATTAAGTTTGCAACGGTGGCTTCCGTCGCAAATGACGTCGCAGACTATTGGCGCCAAGTCTCCCGCCCCGAACTTTACGAGGATTTATAATTCCGTCGCGCACTCCGTCGCCGAGATTTACGGTGATAATGTCTGTCGCAAATGTCGTCGCCGAGTACAACGGAAGTACAATCGTCGCAACTTTCCGTCGCAATTTTGCGATTTTCTTGTACTGTAAATAGGACTAAAACATAATGACTTTCCTAATGTAGGACTTAAACTTTTTTATTCCCTTAATAGGACTTAATAATGACCTAGTGGGAAGAATAATGTCCAGTAATGATGGACATTTAGTTGAATAATGACTACTTGATAATGACCAAAGGTCCTACATTGGGAAATAAAAACATATGGTCCTATTTTGGGAAAGTCATTATGTTTTAGTCCTATTTAGGTAAATTTCTCAAGAAAGAAAGAGAGGGAATAGAGACGAAGAAGATTAGATCTATATAGGTAAGATGACAATTAGTTGAGAATGAGAGGGAAGAGAGATGGGGGAAGGGAGAGGAAGGAGAGATGGAGGAAGAGGGAGAGGGAAGAGAGATAGAGGAAGAGGGAGAAAAGGAACAGAGACAGAAGACGGATCGTATGGCCTCTAGGCATCTCACGGAGTGGTCCATGACTAGTGTATTGAGTTTTTGGCCGAATAGGTTGACTGTGGTACGATTATGCAAGTATCTAAAACGAATGAAAACGAACAATTAATCATACCTTTGAATAATGATAATTTCCGATTCTTTGGACATTGTGTGATTATATGTTAATTCATGTTGGTTTATTAATTAGTTCTAGCGTTATATATTTACTCACTTAGTTTTTAAGTGAGCGTGTATCTCTGTTATCTTTGACTACACGCAGGTAGGAGTCAAGGGACAGATGATCAACCTGGAGGACACTGGGCTGTATCGCTAGTAGATGGTTGAAGCTCTTATGTCGCTAGTAGATGGCTGAAGCTCTTATGTCATTCTTTTAAATATTATTTTATTTATTATTCATAGTATTAAAGTTGTTTGGATATTGGATTTAAGGTTTTCGCAACGCTTGGATTATTTTACTCTGATTAATTTATTATTTATTTTTAATTAATATGAATGAATGTTTTATTTAAATGTTCTTTAAAAATATTATACAGTTGAATACCAAATTCATTCGTAACAACCAAATTTGCTAACTCTTTGTTTCAAGTTACATGGGTTTTGGGGTGGAGTGTTACAAAAGGCTTAATATTTTTATAGAATGGGAAGAGTAACTAAGGGTGAGCATGATACGATATGGTACGGTATTTAACTCGTACCGATACCGTACCAAATATTTTGGTTCGGTATGAGATTATACGTCGTACCAATCCCAATCCCGAAACTTTGGTTTGGGATGGTTCGTTTTTGGTTTCAGTATAAATTAGGATTAATACATACACACTTAATTTAAACTTTAAAATGTCACAAATGTTTTTTGAAAATTCAAAAGAATATTTAAATAAAGAAACAAAAGAAACTAGAAAATTAAAATTTATATGCAAGAAATGCTTATGAAACTTAGTTTATACTCCCTTCCCTTAAACTCCTTCCTTTTTTTCCTTGTCCCACTAACTCCTTCCCTTATCTATTAAAAAATCATTTTTATCCCTTACTTTTTCATACCCTGCCTATCACATCATACCTTTTTATTTATAATATATCCATCACATCTTACTTTATTCATCACATCAAGGATATTTTTGAAAAATCAATACTAAAATATTCGTTCTTTAATTTTCCAAAAAGTCAATAAGGGAAACACTTTCGGGGACGGTGGGAGTATTTCACAAACTAAAGTTAACGGATGATAACAAAATGATATTTCAAAAGTGTGTTAATATTTGTAAATTCATCTACAAAAAATCAAAACTCAAATAAAAATACAATGTGCAAAGAATAAATATTGAACCAAATTTTAAAAATAAATTTATTATTTTTAGAAAAATTATTGAAACATTATTATATTGAGGATATATTAGTACCTATATTCGATTCGGGATTTTAGGTATGGAAAATTACCTCGAACCATTCCCAAATATCGAACTGAACATCCAATTCGGTATTTTAGATTTCAGTTCATTATTTTTCGATTCAGTTTTATCAGTTTTTTTTTTTTTTTTTTTGGAATTTTAGGTATCAGTTCCATAACCACCAAAATAAGATGTGCTAGTTCAAAGAGTTGCCATTTGGGGCAAGTGCCGAAGAGAAGGGAGAAGCCTGCAGAGATGGGAGGAGCAGTGAAGGAAGAAAGACGGAATCGTAAAAGGAAGAGAGAGAAGCAACGCCGGAAACCTGCCGCCGATTCATCTTTGCTCCCTACCGGCGATAAGAACAAACCCGTCGATTCAACTTTGATTTCCGTCTCCCGGAGCAAAACAATCTCTAAACCTAACAACGCTTCGTCTTTTATCGATAAGGTTTCCTCTATCTATTTATCTATCTTCCGCTCTGATAATAAGAGCAATTCCTTACTGAGTATTTCCCCGTGGGTAGATGAGGGCGAGATTGTCAGGGGGACATTTCCGTATGATTAACGAGAAGCTCTATACTTGCTCGTAAGTTTCTTGAGAAAAAATTGCTATTGATGTAACGCCATAGCTCGTAGCTGAACTTTTTTGCTGAAATTATCTGATGAGAATTTAGTTTTGTGTTTCTTTAATTCAGTGGAGATGCGGCACTGGACTACTTCAAAGAAGACCCACAGTTGTTTAGTGTGGTAAGCTTGCTTTCTCTGTTAGTTGGATCTTAATGTTACCATAAAGTAAATTAATGGATCCAAAAGATATAAAAATGAGGTTAATCCCATGGCTGCCTGAGCCTTTGATTAACATTATAGTTGTGCTTGATATGTAATTGCATGCTTTATTTTAAATTGATGGCGGAACTTGGAAGAATTATTCAAGAGCAGGGTAAAAATAACTGTGTATGTCTGTGGTTTTGTGTTTTGAGTATGATTTTTCTTTTTTCTTTATTGACTCACTAAAGATAACTGTGTAAAAACAACTCTTTCATGACTCACTAAAAGAGTTGTTATTGACAACATTTTAGCTTTCGGTAAATAATGGAGATTGGATTAGATCAAAACAGTGCGTTGAACTTCCATTGCGTTTTACTTTCTATGAAGTTTCGGGCAGTATATGCAGCAAAGCATCTTTGCTCTAACGAAAATAACCTCTTAGGTTTTAGCAGGACTGGTTGCACACATCTTGAAGTAAGACCCAAATGGTGTTAGGATTATACTAGATTTTCGTCATCTTTTTTTCTCATTTAGAATCGGCATTGTATTGGGTTTCTATTTAACACATGTTCTTACTTACATGGCCAGTATCATGCAGGGTACCAAGAACAGATGTCGCATTGGCCTGAACAGCCAGTTAATATAATTATAAAATGGATCAAAGATCATGATCCTTCATTAGTTGTGGCTGACTTTGGCTGTGGTAAGAATCCAGAGCGCTGATCCGAAACCTCGTTGATATGTAAGTATAATGCATTTTAATAGCGGTGTGTTCATGCATCATTTCAGGAGATGCACGACTCTCAAGAAATGTGAAGAACAAAGTTTTCTCTATTGACCTCGTATCACACGATCCTTCCGTTATAGCATGTGACATGGCAAATGTATGTGCTTTATGTGATCGCACATATAGCTGTCTGCTTGAAATGCTTTGTCCAGAATTCTTTTGAGTTCAGCCTTTGTGATATCCTTTTGAATTTTCCCATTTTTCCATCTGTAGACACCTCTTGATTCCTCCTCCGTGGATGTAGCCGTCTTTTGCCTTTCGCTGATGGGAATCAACTATCCAAGCTATCTTCAAGAAGCTCATCGGGTTCTTAAGCCCAGGTATGGCATGCACTCTCCTAACATGAGACATAATTCTTGGTTTTTCTTTACCCAACTTTCAATATCATTAATTATCATTTCAAAAACCTTACATCCATTATCAGATCCATAAAGTTGTTGTGAAATCATAAGCCGTAGCTATCGATTCGCGATTTTCAACCAGACATGAACTCAGTTAGATATTTACGAAATGAATCACGTAAACAACTATAAATATAGCACATAACAAGTGGAAAAATTAAATCTTGCGCCTAGAAGAGAAGAAAACACAAATAACATGGGAAGGAAACAACTCTTCTTTATTAGACAATAACGACAGAAGAGCATGGAAAATAGATATGATGCCGGTGCAGATTAATCTTTCTCTATGTGTAAATTGTTTGACAATATCTGTTGTATTTGCAGTGGATGGCTCTTAATAGCTGAGGTCAAAAGCAGGCTTGATCCGAATACTGGGGGAGCAGACCCTGGGAAGTTCATAAAAGCTGTTTGTGACCTCGGACATTCCTGTGTCAAGAAGGTTTGCCTCTTCTGTTAGAGTTGTTGATTTCAAGATAAAGGGTAACTATAGAATTCTTGCCTATCTTATGCCTGGTTTGCAGGATTCCTCCAACAAGATGTTTGCACTCTTCTACTTCAAGAAGAAAAAGGTGGTGGCATTTATATCATTGATTTGACAATGGTGTTCTAGTGGGTTTGTGAATATCTTTGTGAAGGGAGTGTGCCCTATATTTAGATGGCTGTTGTTGCTTATTATTGCAGGATACGCAAAATGTGGAGGGAAGGAAAATTGATTGGCCTGAACTGAAACCTTGTTTGTACAAGCGTCGCTGATTGTTTGTGGCCATCTCGGTGCAAAACGAGTTCTTTCTTAGAACCTTTCCGTGAAAGGGTTGCTAATTCCCAAACCACAGAGAGGTTTCTTGGCATTGATGTGTTTTCTTGGAGTTTCTTGCCACTTCCTTTTTTCTTCTTTCTATCATGCCACTAAACATTTTATTTAGTGTCAAAAATGCCATTGAAGATGTTTTCAGCAGTTATTACTCGGTAAATACTTAGAAGTTAGAGTAATGCTAGAGTTACAAACAAACAGTTCACAAAATTCACAAACTTATTTTTCTAACACTCTTCTAGAAATAAGATGCACTCAAATAATAAAAGATATTTTAATTTAAAATTTACAAAAGAAATGTTTGTAATGTTTATGAACTACGGAGTATATGTTTGTGACTCTAACACTTTCATAGAAGTTATCTCCCATGGCTTGAGTGGTAGGAAGCCTACTCCCTAGAATTCATGGGAAAGTTCATCTAGGTTCGAGCTCCAGCGGAGGCGGAAGCATTGACTCTTTATGCGTCATTAGCTTGAAAATAATGTAAATAGATATTACCTTGTAAAAGAGTCAACATTATTCAAAAAAAATACTCCGTACTAAAGAAGTTCTAAAATGCCATCAAGTTATTATTTTTTTTTTGTAAAAAATGTGACTCAATTTTTTTTAAAAAAATTCACTTTTTATATTCGTTCAGTTCTATAATACCACTCATTTCTATTACTCTGTACGATTATTAATATTCTAAAAATATAATTTTTTTAAACAATTACATAAAGTTCAATTTTTGAATATCTTTTTTTGTTTTTTTATTCTTTTACTCAGCTAAATTTTTTCAGTTCTATCAATATTCACAACAATTGTATTTACAAAAACACTAAATTTAAAAAATATAATTTTGTACTCCGTATTATACTTGGCGTAATATTTTTTAGTAATTAACTTTTATCATAAAACGATATACGGAGTATCAAATTGCAACTCATGAAAAGTAAATAGCAACCATTTTTTTTCTTGAATAATAAAATCACAATAATTAAGAGGCAAGAGTTCTCTTATCAATTTGTGGACTTCTATAGCCAAATCAATAACAAATTAAAAGGAAATACTTGTTCATGTTCTTTAAGTATATCATGTTCAAGAAAGATCATGTTTTAGAGGTGCAAAATATATCATGTTCAAGCAAGATCACCAAAAAGAACATGTTTAACACAATATGTTTACTAAGGAAAAAAAACATCCATCGTATTCTAGAGATTAAAAAAGAGTAAAGTGCATTGTTACCCCGTACTCTTTAGAAATTGCATGTTTTACCCCCGAAATTTAAAAATTGCACCGTTTACCCTCGAACTCCTTGAAAATTGCGCGATTTACCCCTGCATACTAAAAAATGCACCAAATACCCTTGAACAAATTAAACCGTTGCATCGTTGGTCCTAAACTATTAGATAGGGAATGCGTTACTTCCACGCACAACAATTGCGAATATGATTCATTTGACCCTTGTGATTTTTCCAAAGTACTTTTCCCCAAAATTGTCGTCTTTATTTAAATGTTCAGGAGTATACAGTATAATTTTCGAAGAGTTTAGGGATATTTGGTGCACTTTTTATTGTTCAGGGGTAAAGCGTGCAATTACTAAAGAATTCAGGGGTATTTGGTGCACTTTTTAATGTTCGGGAGTAAACCATGCAATTTTCAAAGAATTCGAGGATAAACGGTGCACTTTTCTACATTATACTAATAGAAACACAGTGCATAGAAACACAAGGATCATGCTTGGAAGCTGCATAGAAACACAATCACAAGGAGTAACTAATAGAAACACACTGCATGATCTACACTATACTTTGGAGCAATAAACTAGTTACAACCTTCTTGAAGCTTGGAAGCTGAAACACCAATAATATTTCCTCTTTTAATTTTAGGCCTCTTCACCTTAATTTTTCAAAAAAAAAAAAGAAAAGAAATATAATAAATAATGTATATTACTAGCAAACATAACCTTGGAAAGAAAACATTACCCTTAGCTTTGTAACATTCAGACGATATGTTGCTTTATTTTGATCCTCAACCCCACAAATTGAGCAATGTTATCTCACCTGATTCTACTTGACTTTAGGACTACTGCTAACTCTGCCACGTTTTTCTCCCGCCTCAGGTCTTGGTGGCGGTTTTTTCCTTGGGCTCAAAGTAAGGCGCAACAATAATTGATCCAGGCACCTTCTCCCACATGTCAGGACCATTAATGGGAACTAAAGTGTGGGCATAATTTTTTTTTAAAGATTTTCACATTCATAGTAACTATGCACAAAGTGGTCAGCAGTTCGACCTTCTAGAGACCCAGACAGATTGCGTATCAGGCTAATCAATAAAAAAATGTCTAATTGTAATTAAAAAATAGGGCAAAGGGGAGTAATTATAACTTGATCTATTGCTAAAAGCTATAACAAATTTAAAGCTACATGAATGTAGTTGTGCACTTGTGCACATAATTATAATACGTTTATAGAAAAAAAACATAATCGATTTTGATCAAGTTTTATCGGTTGTGGGTACAACTAATTTTAAATCTTAACAATTTCTGATATACTCCCTCCGTCCAAAATTAAACTTCCCGGTTTGACCGGGCACGCAGATTAAGAAAAAATGTAAATATAGCTGACTTTCCCAAAATGCCCCCATTCCCTACTCTTCCGTATTCCCCCCTCCTCTTCCGATAATAGGCAGGCCACTGGTCTTGGGGAAGCAAGACCGACGGTGGAAGCAACCGGTGACCGGCGAATTAGCGCGCCAGCAATTGGATAAATGGGCGATGCAACAGGTAGGTAACCAACGACTACGAGGCAGTAGAGACCGGAAACACAAGCAAAGCAACGATAGAATGAATTTTAACGGAAATTAACGGTAGATCCAACTGCCAACTCGCTGCTCCGATAGTCCGATCCACCCACTGGTAGAATTTCAAATAGATCTGGGAAAAGGTCCAGATAGATCTTTAAAAAGGGAGGAAGAAGAAGGAATTTAGAGAGGAGGAAGAAGAAGAAATAAAAAAGGAGGAGGAGGAAGAATGACCAGGACGAAGGAATTTAGAGGAGGAAGAAGACGAAATAAGAAAGGACGAAGAAAAATAAAAAAGGAGGAAGAATGACGAGGAAGAAGATGAGGAATTGGGGGATGGATTGAAAATGAGTGGTGAGAAATGAGAAAGTTGAAATTTGGGTTATATTTGTAAGGGCAAGCATGGCTTTTCACACACAAAAACTTTCCTTAAATAGAAATGGGAAGTTTATTTGTGGACGGATAAAAAAGGAAAGTGGGAAGTTTTTTTATGGACGGAGGGAGTAATCAATTTCAAGTATTATCGGTTGCAACCTTTCGGTTATTATCAATTTTAGAATTATATTCAATTCAGTTCTGATTCGATTCAGATCATTTCTGTCATTTAGTTATAGATCAAAACTTCACTTTTTAAATCGTTTCCATTTCGAATCATTGAGTTCGGGTTATTGATTTTGGATCTCTTTTGCCAGGTCTACACCTCAATTTGTTTCCTGAGATTGCCCCTCACTTCTACAACAATGTCTCATAAAGACTCTTTATTTAATTTTCACAAAGATTAAGAAAACATGTTTAAGTAAAAAAAGGAGTTAAGTGCACCGTTTACCCCCGAATTCTTTGAAAATTGCATGGTTTACCCCCGAACATTAAAAAGTGCATCAAATACCCCTAAATTCTTCAGAAATTGCACGGTTTACCCCTGAACAATAAAAATTGCACCAAATGCCCCTGAACTCTTCGAAAATTGTACTGTTTACTCCTGAACATTTAAATAAAGATGACAATTTTGGGTAAAGGTATTTTGGAAAATTCACAAAGGCCAGATGAATCATATTCGCAATTCTTGTGCGTGGAAGCAACGCACTTCCTATCTAATAGTTTAGGACCAACGATGCAACGTTTTAATTTGTTCAAAGGTAATTGGTGCATTTTTTAGTGTGTAGAGGTAAATCGTGTAATTTTCGAAGACTTCGAGGATAATCGGTGCATTTTTTAAAGTTCAAGGGTAATACATGCAATTTCTAAAGAGTATGGGGGTAAATGGTGAACTTAACTCTAAAAAAAAGTAGTGTAATTGAAATTGTTTCAATTCCTGATATATATTTTTTAAGCAACGTGATCAATCTTTAAATTGAAATAAAATGAGGAAACTTCAATTATTGAAGATCTAAAAAGTAAGGTAAAAAAATTGTGAGAAAAGATAATATTTCATCTTCACCCAACAAAATACGGAGTATTCTTTTCTTAATGTTTACATGCCCTCCCTTCTACTCTAGCTAGGAATCTTGCCTTCTCCCTCCGTCCTTAAGTGTTTGTCCATTTTCATTTTTGCACACCATCCAATGCACTTCTTTAATCCATTTTATCTTGTAATTTGTATATTAAAAAATTATAAAAATTATATATTAATAATCTATATGTTAAGACGAATCAAACAAGATCACACATGACTATTTTTAAGCTTACACATTGAGAGAATTTGATGAGTCAAAGTGCTTAGATGAACAGTTCCAAAAGTCAAAAGTGGACAAACATTCTTTTCTTTAACATTCTTTTCTTTAACCTTTCTCCTCTTTTCTTCATTGAGGCATGGTTAGTTGTAAATTACACCATTTACCACTATGACAAAATTAAATAGAGCTTTATATATTTAAATGTTATAAATAAAACTTATATATCAAAACTATGAGAAGTTCAATTTACACATTCTTTTCTTTAACCTTATGAGAAGTATGACTTATGAGAAGTTCAATTTACACATTCTTTTCTTTAACCTTTCCCCTCTTTTCTTCATTGAGGCATGGTTAGTTGTAAATTACACCATTTACCACTATGACAAAATTAAATAGAGCTTTATATATTTAAATGTTATAAATAAAACTTATATATCAAAACTATATTTTAAAATAAACTTAATAATATTAAATTTACATTACTACCTTCGTCCCGCTATATTCGTCCATTTTTGACTTTTGGAACTGTTCATCTAAGCACTTTGACTCATCAAATTCTCTCAATGTGTAAGCTTAAATATAGTCATGTGTGATCTTGTTTGATTTGTCTTAACATATAGATTATTAATATATAATTTCTATAATTTTTTAATATACAAATTAGAAGATAAAATGGATTAAAGAAGTGTTTTGGATGGTGTGTAAAAATGAAAGTGGACAAATACTCTGGGACGGAGGGCGTATAATTTAATATTTTTTTATAATTTATGGTTAAAGTGTAAGATACTTTAATCGTCAAACTCCTAAAATATTTTTGGCAGAGGGAGTGTGTGAACTCTACAACTAAAAAGTTATGGATATTTAAGAGGAAACGAATATATGAAGATCCATTTTCTCAAGTACTATGAAGCTCCATTTATTAATTCACCGTGGGTGAGAAAGAGGTGAAAAACTGCCGGGTAATTCAATTGGCTGACGGCAATCTAACCGGCACCAAAGAGCTTCCTATCCCTCCCATGGCCGCCGCCATGCACGCCCCAATCATCTCCTCCTACAATAATGGCCGCATCAGGCCACTACTCGACTGCGTCGACAAGCTCCGGGCCCTCAACGTCATGCAGGAGGGCATCCAGCTCCCGACCATCGTCGTGGTCGGGGACCAGTCCTCCGGCAAGTCCAGCGTGCTGGAGTCGCTTGCCGGAATCAGCCTCCCCAGAGGTCAAGGGATGTCCACCCGCGTCCCACTCGTCATGAGACTCAAGAACCAGCCCGACCCCGAAACCCCCCCGGAGATCTATTTGGAGTTCAACGGGAAAATCGTCCCGACCGACGAAGCCGGAATTGAGGACGCCATCATTTCCGCCACCGACGAGGTGGCGGGCTGCGGGAAAGGAATTTCCCGCACTCCCTTGACTCTTCTGGTCAAGAAATGCGGGGTCCCTGATCTGACCATGGTGGACTTGCCTGGAATCACCAGGGTTCCAGTCAAGGGCCAGCCACACGACATTTACGAACAAATCAGGGACATAATCATGGACCACATAACCTCAGAGGAAAGCATCATTCTCAACGTGCTATCCGCCACGGTCGATTTCCCGACGTGCGAGTCCATCAGGATGTCGCAGGCCGTGGACCCCACGGGAAGGAGGACGCTGGCGGTGGTGACGAAGGCGGACATTGCCCCCCAAGGCCTTCTGGAGAAGGTCACCGCGGACGAAGTCCGGATCGGGCTCGGATACGTTTGCGTCAGCAACCGTACCGGCTCTGAATCCGAGCTCTTCGACACCCATCCCCTCCTCTCCAAGATCGACAAGTCCATGGTTTCCATCCCAGTCTTGGCTGACAAGCTGGTGTCCATCCAAGAAAACATCATCTCGAAATGTCTCCCCGACATTGTCAAGAAAATCCAGGACAAACTCGCAGCAAATCTCGAAGAGCTGAACGCACTGCCGAAAACCATAACCTCCGTGGGCGAAGGATTCACTGCGTTAATCCGGATCCTAAACTCGACCAAGCGTTCCCTCACAAAACTTCTCCTGGCAGGAGACTTTGGAGAGTACCCAGAGGACACAGAGATGCACATCATTGCCAAGCTAATGGAGATGCTCAACCGGGGCACGGCTTTCTTGAAATCAGAAAACATCGAAAACCAAGACGAAATCTCAGACCTGGAAATGGGGTTATCATCAGGCTTCCTCCCTCATCGTGCCTTTCTCTATACGCTGCAGAAAAGGCTCAACCGGGCCTCCCCTGTTTTACTGAAACTGGTGGGGGATTTATGGGCATACATCCAAACTGGCGTGATCAATGTACTGTCCCTCCATTGCGAAAACCACCCACAAATCCAGTCCGGCGCGACGAGGGCTGTTGAGAATATGATCGCGAAAAAGAAAGAGGAATCGGCGCGTTGGGTAACGGAGATCATTGGAATGGAGAAGCTGGGGATTTACACTTGTAATGATAATAATCCACAAGGAATGGGTTTGGTGACGGGGGTGGCGGCGTACTGGGAGATTGTGCGAGCCAGGGTGGTGGATGGGCTGGTTTTGCACATTCTGTTCAAGTGCCAAAAGCTGGTGGAGGAGGAGATGGAGGAGGAAGTTGTCAGGGATCTCACGGCGGCGCCTTCCGGTGGCGGGGGCATTGAGAGGATGGTTGAGGAGTCTTCTCTGGTTGCGGAGGAGCGAGAGCGCCTGAGGAAACGCGTCGAACTGCTCCAGGAGTCGCAGGATGTTGTGGCCAAGATCATTGGCAGAATCGTGCCTGGTGATGACTAGCCGAATTGCATAGTTGGCTTATGGAAAATCTCCATGTATTTTTACAATACTCTATTGTTAAGTCATAGTACCTCCCACCACAAATAAACTTCTCGTTCAATGTTCACATGGTCAAACTTTATTCACTTTGTTGACAAATTTTTGTCACACATTTGATAAAATAATATAGTCATGTCACCTCTAGTTTTGTAGATCTTTTGATATAGTTTTTTAATATGTAATTTTTATTTTTAAATTTTACACCATTTTTCAAACATCGTAACGCGCAACGGGAAGTTTATTTATGGACGAAGGAGGTATCCTAATTGTAGGGGTCAAACAAAAGTTTTATCCATTCTGTAAATTGTCTTCAATGTAATATTTTTAAATAAGTTATAAAAATATATGTAATGCGTTCTTTAACACTATAGACATTAAAATCAAAGTAAAATAAATAATTTGACATTTAATATTTAGTAATGAAAATTCTTATATTTAAATTCAAAAGTGAACACCTTAAAGTTTTTTTAAATCCATTTTTTAAAGACATCGAGTATATATCATTTTTGGTGTGGTTGTTGCAAGGGTTTTCTTTATTTTGATTCTTCAGAAGAGCATTGCTAAGTTTACAAATAAAATAATCATAAAATTCATAAACTTACTTTTGTGAGATTTGTGAGCATTTTATTTATTTGAAAACCAAGCATTTTTCTGTTAGGACCAAGACTTGCTATTTTTTTCGAGACTGCTTCTTAAATTTAGATCTAGCCTGGTATTCATGTTTTGGACTTTTCAATCTAGATCAAAGCTGGTATTTTTTGGACTCTTCAATCTGCTCGATTTGTGACTATTCATGTTTCTTGATTACTTTTATTGGAAGAAGATGAATGTGGATGATTTTGTTGATGTTCTTTAAAAATTATTTAATTTATATAATAAAATATTATGAAAAAGTAAAAAATTGATAACATGGTTGGGAAGTAAGTGAGAGTTTGAATTGCTAAATTACATTACTAAAATGAATTCAAACAATGACTCTAGCATGTATTTGAATTATGATAAGGTATGCAAGTCGGATTGCGATTCAAATTTAATTTATTCAGTGAACTTTATTCGTCTGAATTTTTGAACAATATATGTGCTCTACGTATAATATATGGTGCTATTTAAAGAATAAAACAATTTAAGTGCTATTTAGGAAAATGACTTAAGTTTTAGTGCTATTTAGTCAAATATTTCATAATATATGTGCTCCAGGTATTCCAAATAATGAACTAATTTTAAAAGTTGGAACTCCTATAATGTTGTCGAGGAATATTAATCACGCGATGAAGTTGTGTAATGCTACAAGATTAATAGTTACGTGTTTGGCCCCTCATTCCATACAGGGAAAATTTCTATCTAGGATACATAGGGGTGAAGAAGTTGTTATCCATAGAATGCCATTACCCCCTTCAGATTTAAGTATTCCTTTCAAATTTGAAAGACGACAACTTCTGTAATGATTTTGTACGCAATGACCATAAACAATAGTCAAGGCTAATGACGATTTCACGTAGGCCTTTTCTCAAAAAATCTGTTTTCAGTTATGATTATGTTGTAGTTTCTAGAGTCACACATCATAGTGGTTTAAATTTTTTGATTTACGACGAAAATGACCAACAAACACATTCCACAACAAATATTGTTTAACAAGTTTTTCATAATATGTGAATGCTTTATAATGAATATTTTCATTATTTTTTGCTCATATATAGAGAGTTCTCTGTTCTAACAATTGGATGTCATTTATTTTATACTCCGTAAGATTCATTAGTTTCAAAATCTCTCCATATTTAAGTTTGTGTTTTAAAGGTGCAATAAGTTTAAGGCATGTGAGTTTTTAATGCGGGAGTCTATATTTGCACAATTAATTTTGTTGTGAAGTTACTCTTTCAAATGAGAAATCATGAATTAAATTTGTTGGGAAAAAATAACTCTCAATGCTTCAATAAGTTTAGAAAATATGTATTAGATATTCTAATTATAACCGAGTTATTAGTGTTTAAAAAAGTCTTAAACATTTTTAAATAGAAAAAAATGGCTACTTAACTTGCGAATTTCGCAAATTTTTGTTACTACTTTCGTTTGGAAATGTTCTTCTTATTTGACTTTTTACGGTATCTAATGTTATATTTTGACCATTATTATCTATATTTTATAAAACATGACATTTCAAAATTACATTTCAATAGGATTATATTAAGAGTAATGTTAGGGATACACCAAAAGGTGTGCCTCAAATGTACATCACCATCTTTTCCTCCACACATTTTTATTTGATTTTTATTTACTTATTTTTTTTTTTATATTTTTTTGCTTATTTTAGTGGACAAGGAGGGAGTAAGAGAATATTTTTTATATATATCAGAGTCAAAATTTAAAAACACGGAGTCAAGTCAAAGTGTGAAGGGGAAGAGTAAATAGAAACACGGAGAAGTGAAATTTTCTTATGGACCAAACGTGCAAATTTCCGGATTTCAGTCAGAATAAAACCCCTACGGAGTACGGTCTGAATTCTAAAACGCAATTAACAAATCCAAGCCACAATCCCTCACCCTCTCTCGTAAAGCCTAAGACTCTCAACTATGGCGGAGAACGGGAATAACACTGTTTATATTGGTAATTTCCCAACTTTATTTCAAATCTTAGGGTTGTTTGGGGGCGTTTGTTGTTGTTTATTGATGTATTGTTTTTTCAGAGCTTGGAGATGCATGTCTGTGATTTTTTTTTTTAATTCTGACTTCTATATCTCCATACATCACATGTTGATTCTTTTGTTTCGGTTCCAAAATGTTGATGTTTAATCTGGATATATCTATCATTTTTCGTATTATATTTTGGTTTTAGATTTGAGGAGATCAACCAACTGCGTATAAGCTAGGGTTTCGCAGAAATAGCTGAATTATTATTAGAATACACGCAAAGTTTTGGAATTTATTGTGTGTGCTGTAATGAATTTTGGATGGTGAAAATCTTGGTTTCAAATTTACAATACATATGCTCCGGATTCTGATTTGAATTCTTCCTCCCTCTGATCTTGAATGATTGTCTCTCTGGGTTTAGGTGGATTTATGGGTTTATGAATAATCCCTTTACTGTTTTCCAGTTCTCTCAGATCATTTTATTTTTCATTGGTGATTTTCAGTGCTGGAATTACTATTACTAATAAAAATTTCTCCAATTTTTTACTTGATTTCGTAATTGCGTGATTACTTGCACATTGTGTTCTTGGGTTTTTATGTACTTTAAGATCAATTTTTTACTTGGTATCTCTAAGAGTTTTGTTTTTGAATTTTTGTGGATTATATCAATGTTCTTGATATGAAAGAATTATGGCATTGAACTAAATTTGATTTCCATTTTGTAGGTAATTTGGATGAGAAGGTAAATGACAGGGTGCTGTATGATATTCTCATTCAAGCTGGTCCTGTGGTTGACTTGCATGTTCCTCGTGATAGGGAATCTGATAAGCCAAAAGGCTTTGCTTTTGCTGTCTATGAGACTGAGGAGACCGCGGAGTATGCTGTCAAACTCTTCTCTGGTCTGGTGACATTGTGCAACAAAACACTGAAATTTGCAGTATGTTCTCTATATAACATGCCTTAGTTATTTGGTTATTCTATATGGAGTACTATTATTACCTAAACTGTACATTTATATGACAATGCCATCTTTCTTTTGATTGCATTTCTCTTAAATTAGTTCTTATTTTCAAAATCACCTGACATTAACAAAGGTTTGTTCTACGTAAGTGTACTTGGGCGCTTCTTCTTAATGTTTGCCACTAGGCCAATATATTTTTTGCTGGATTTATTTATTTATACAGTGGAGTATCATCATATATTGCTTCCCAGGACTAAGAAGAGGAAGATGTTATTGGTTGTAGGGTATTTCTTTTTGTGAGATGGCACTATTAGCCCAGAGAACTGCAAATAAATGTCTATCATGTCCTTTGGGAAATGGGTAGTGATTAATGACTTTTTGAAACAGATTTCAGGTAAAGATAAGCCGCCAATGAATTCATCAATGGAAACCCCTAATGCATTAAGTTCTTCTATTAGGCAAAGGACACAATCTTTATCACCATATGATACTGAAATTTCTCAACATTCTCCAAGATCATCTGCATCATGTCGGCTCTCAGAGTACCAAACAAATTCTCCACAAGGTGAATATTGGTTCTTAGCTAAATGTTCACTGTGAATTGTTGTCTAAAGCTATAATTTTCCTGCCCTTTTCTTTTAGTTAATGGACTTCAGGTACCTCTTTAATGACATTTTTCTCTAATCAATTCCAGTTCCCCCTGGTGTACCATTACACCATCGTAATGGCCTTAGATCACCTAATGATGGATATAGGTCTCATTATGATGGCAACACGTATGATTACAGTCGGCGAGTATTTGGGGCTGCTTTGGATAGTTTTACCCCTTCTAGGTTGGGTCGTTATGATGCTCGTAATTCAAACAGTTACTATTCACCTTACTGATTGTCCTTAAGATTTGGTAAAAGATCAGCCCTGACATATCCTGTACCAAGTAATTGTAATTTATGCTAAATTTAGGGGATCTTAGTCTCAAATGGATGCATTTAGCTTTTGCTGCTCTGACTGTTGTGTATTTGAAGGTGTTGTCTGGTTTGGGCTTCATTGTTTTGTAGCCCCTTGGAAGATTATGTTTGTGTAATATTTATACATTTGAAACTTGTATGTGATCTTTTAAAGAACCATGTTTTGTTGTGTTTTTTTGTTTCTCGAAAAAGCCCCTATAGACTCAACTGCACATTTGGTGATGACATTGTTGCCTAACTTGCTTATGCTTCCGATGCCTGATTTGGTAAGTCTTCATTCCTGTGGCTAGATTCAAATGTGTGAATTTTGAGGTGCAAAAGAGGTAGGACGAAATTTTGTTCATCTTTAACCTGCCAAGAGTATGATTTGTTTGCTAATCTTTGACCTAGCTATATCACTGTAGGAGCAAAATGGTGGTTATACTCTTTGGCCTAGAAGGAAGTTCCAAATTTCCTTTTTGGTTTGTCTGAAAATAATGTTTCTTTTAGGGTATTTTTTGGTGGTACTTTTTA